AACCTAGGTGCCCATCAATGGATGAATGGATAAACAAATTATGGTATATTCCCACAATGGAGTACTATGCAACGATAAAGAACAATGATGAATCCACAAAATATCTCACAACATGGATGACTCTGGAAGGCATTATGCTGAGTGAAATGAAATTAGTCAGTCACAAAAGGACAAATATTGTATAAGACCACTATTATAAGAACTCAAGAAAAAGTTTAAACAAGGAAGAAAACATTCATTGATGGTTACAAGGGTGGGGAGGGCAGGAGAGGGGAATTTACCAACGAGATAGTACACAAGAATTATCTTGGGTGAAGGAAGGACAACACACAATACAGGGGATGTCAGCACAACTGGACTAAACCAAAAGCTAAGAAGTTTCCTGAATACAACCAAACACTTCGAGGGACAGAGTGGCAGGGGTGGGGTTCTGGGGACCATGGTTTTGGGGGACATCTAGGACAACTGGCATAACAAAGTTTATTAAGAAAATGTTCTACATCCCTCTTTGGTAAGTGGCGTCTGGGGTCTTAAAAGCTTGTGAACGGCCATCTAAGATGCATCAGTTGGTTCCCAAGCCACCTGGAGCAAAGGAGAATGAAGAACACCAAAGATACAAGGAAAATATTAGCCCAAGAGATAAAAGGGCCACATAAACCAGAGACTTCATCAGCCTGAGACCAGAAGAACTAGATGGTGCCCAGCTACAACCAATGACCACTACGATGGTTAAGACTATCTGTCAACTTGGCTAGGCCATGACTCTCAGTGTTTCAGCAGCTGTATAATGTCGTGATCACTTCCCTGTTGAAATCTGATATGTGATCATCCCCATGATGGAATCTGCTGAGTGGTACTTGCGGAGGCAGGACCTGTGGCAGCTCACTGCCCCCTCAGCCTCATCTCTCTGCCTTCCGTCGGTTACTTCCTGTCTGCTCGCCTTGCCAAAGTTTCTGGCTTGTTCCAGACTCAGCAGCTGTCTCTTGTCATCTCACCTCCAGTCCTTGGGACTTGACCTAGCAGCTTATCTGTCGATCTTGGAATTCATCAATCTTCACAGCCTGCGAGCAAGAGTCCTGTTCCCCGACCTGCTGGTCTTGGGTTCGCCAGCTCCTGCAGCTACGTGAATCAGGAGAAACCCTGGGGTCTTGTCTGCTGATCTTGGAATTCGTCGACCTTCACAGCCTGTGAGTGGGTGCTCCCGACCTGCCAACCTTGGGTTCGCCAGCTTCTGCAGCTGCGTAAATTGGGAGTGGCCTCTACCCTGATCCACGGACTTGGGACATTTTAGCCTCTACAATCGCGTGAGATGTTTCCTTGATATAAATCTCTCTATATATATATTTACACGCTTTACAGGTTTTGCTTCTCTAGAGAACCTAGCTTAAGACAACCGCCCCGACAGGAACACAACAGACAGTCCCTGATGGAACAGGAGAAAAGTGGGGTGCAGAACTCAAATTCTAGTAAAAAGACCAGACTTAATGGTTGGACTGAGACTGGATGGACCCTGGAAGACATGACCTCTGGACTCTGTTAGCCCAAAACTAAAACCATTCCCAAGGCCAACCCTTCAGATAAAGATTAGACTGGACTATGGAACATTAAATGAAACTCAAGAACAGTGCGCTTCTTAGCTCAAGTAGATACATGAGACTAAATGGGCAGCTCCTGTCTGGAGGCGAGATGAGAAGGCATAGAGGGTCAGGAGCTGGTTGAATGGACACAAGAAATCCGGGGAGGAAAGGAGGAGTATGCTGTCACAGTACAGGGAGAGCAACTAGGGTCACATAACAATGTGTGTATAAATTTTTGTATGAGAGACTAACTTAAATTGTAAACTTTCACTTAAAGCACAATCAAAAAAATAAAAAAAGTGTGTTTCTTAGTTCAAGTAGATACAGGAGACTAAATGGGCAGCTCCTGTCCAGAGGCAGGATGAGAAGGCAGAAAGAGATATGAGCTGGTTGATTGGACACAGGAAACCCAGGGTGGAAAGGGGGAGTGTTCTTTTATATTATAGGGATTGCAACTAGGGTCACATAACAATATGTGTATAAATTTTTGTATGATAAATTAACTTGAGCTGTAAACTTTCACCTAGAAACCAAAAACCAAATCCGCTGCTGTCAAGTTGACTGAGACTCACAGCAAACCTACAGCACAATTTAAAAAAAAAAAAAAAAAAGACTAACCAGAAACAAAAGAATGTTCGATTTAAGCATTGCACTTTTTAAAAAACTATAAATATACACATAAGAGATTCAGTTAGAACAGTAGCTCTAAAGCATAGATGTCAAGTTTAGGAGGCAGTGAGTCTAAGTGGTGGTAAAATAATATAGGCAGAGATAGTGAAAATGGTGACACAATGTGAAGAATGTAACCGGCACTCTGAATTCAGACTTCTGGCCTCCTAAACTGTGAGAAAATAAATATCTGTTTGTTAAAGCCACCCACTTGTGGTATTTCTGTTATAGCAGCACTAGATAAACTAAAACATCATATAAACGAAGAAGACTGTACAGAATAATTCAAAACCCTAAAATTAAAAAGGCAATCAAATATGGTATATTACTACCATAACCTCCAAAAATATATTTTTAAATGATTAAGAATCATAAAACAGAAGCTACCAGCTGCCATCGAGTTGACTTCGACTCATGGCAACCCCATGTGCATCAGAGTAGAACTGTGCTCCATAAGGTTTTCAATGGCTGATTTTTCAGAAGTAGGTCACCAGGCCTTTCTTCCAAGGTGCCTCAGGGTATACCTGAACCTTTCAGTTAGCAGCCAAAAGTGTTAGCCATTTGCACCACCCAGGAATTCCAAAAGGGAAGTTAGACATGCAATAATAAAAGTGTTTCAATCATTTAACAAGTAGTATTTTTGTCTCCCAATAATTTTAAATTTAATTTTTGTAACTCAAGCCATATTAACCACACACTATATGGGAAAGATAAAAAGCTACTCCTATCTGCAGCTTTCGATATTAACCATATTAAATGTCAAGATCTGTCGTGCTCTAAATTACTTAACTAGGTACAGCACAGAGTAGCAGGAAAAGTTGGAGGGTTTATAAATCTATAGGGCTTTTTCTTGCTTTCTAGTATAATTTTGCCTGAGTATTTGCATACTGAAATAATAATACTGCAAATTATTTCCTTTAATATTTCATTTATATTATAGTCAGAGCACTATACTAACTTTTTAAAATTTTATCTGTGGGTAAATTATATTATCTATGAATTTCACTTGAGGATAGTAAAGGGGTAATTAGAAACATTTCTTAAAGATTGGTTATTGGATTTCATAGTTGTCAGCTGTAAAAAGAAGAACCAGCTAAAACAGTAAATGTGAAAACACACTCCACTTAAAAACTATTATATACCAAAAAAAATCATGAGATATAGCTCATTGTAACTCAAGAAGTGTCAA